TATAAAAAAAGCTTCTAAAATTCTCACTCTCTGAACTTCCCCTTACAATATAACAATGAAAAATAGAGCAACGAACCTCCTTAAAATTCTAAATTAATAAAGCATATAAGAAAAAAGAGCAATTAACTATAATTATAAAATAATTTCCAAATATAATAATTAAACAGTCTAAATAAATTATAATGATTAAGCAGTCTAAATAAATTATAAAAATTAAGCAGTCTAAATAATTATAATAAATAAATATAATAAAGTCTAAATAATTATAATATACAAATCATAATGATTAAGCAGTCTAAATGAATTATAATAATTAAGCAGTCTAAATAATTATAATAAATAAATATAACAAAGTCTAAATAATTATAATATACAAATCATAATAATTAAGCAATTTAAATAAATTATATGATTAGCACCAATCTAAATAAATTATTATGATTAAGCAGTCTAAATGAATTATGATAATTAAGCAGTCTAAATAACTATAATAAATAAATATAATAATTATAGTATATAAACAAGGCTCAATTTAATTTTTAATAAAGTCCCGGACAAAATGTGCGATCAAATTTTTTAAATATAATTTTTACGGTTTTATGGAACCAAGTTATGCAATCGAAATTTTTGTGATGTTATTAACTTTATTTAACGTTAGTTTTTAAAAATACTTTATCGCAGATTTTTGCTTTTTTTTTATAAAATAGCTCTAATTTAATATTGTATGTTTTTTTAGTTAGACTTGAACTTTCATGCTGTAACTAACAACGCTTTTTTTTTTTTTTTTTTTAATTCTTTACAATTTGACAACAGCTTTTTTGATGTTTTAACTATTCAAATGTAATAAAAAAAAAATCATTACAAATAACTTTTAATCATTGATTTTTTTTAAAGTTTAAAAACTTTAAAAAACTTTAAACAAAGTTTGTTTTTTTAACTTAACTTTTAATCAAAGAATGAAATGGTTAAAAATTACAATTTTAAAAAGACAACGTTGTTTTTTAAACAATTTTTTTTTTTGCAACTTTTTGAAAAAAATGTTTAAACAACTTAAAGATATTATATTTTTTTATTTTCAATAATTTAATTTCTCTTTTCAATAATTTAAATAAAACTTGTTTATTTATTAAACAATCAATAGAAGTAATTTGTAAAAGCCTTTTGCATAACTTTAATAAAGATAAGTTTTAAAATAATTTATTTCAAAAGCAATTAAAAACTTAACAAAGAGTTATTTTAACTGAGTTTTATTTTAAAGCTTTTCATTTATTTTTAATTTTCTTTACTTTTATTTTTTATATATATACTAAAGTATTTATTTTGTAGAATGTAATTCTCTTCAGTCAAAATGTCAGATTAATTTGTAAATTGATTGTACAATTTGAGGTTTTAGCCTCAAGTAATTTTTTTGGCATCTGATGCATAAAATCTTTTTTCACAAATTTATAAAAACTGTTCAGCGACTATAAAAGATTCTAAAAGAAAAAACTTCCATTGAAACTTCAATTAAAAGATTTAAAAAAAAAAAACTTCAATTGAAACTTTAATTAAAAGATTCTAAAAGAAAAAACTTCCATTGAAACTTCAATTAAAAGATTTTAAAAAAAAAAACTTCAATTGAAACTTTAATTAAAAGATTCTAAAAGAAAAAACTTCAATTGAAACTTTAATTAAAAGATTCTAAAAGAAAAAACTTCAATTGAAACTTTAATTAAAAGATTCTAAAAGAAAAAACTTCAATTGAAACTTTAATTAAAAGATTCTAAAAGAAAAAACTTCAATTGAAACTTCAATTAAGAGATTCTAAAAGAAAAAACTTAAATTGAAACTTTAATTAAAAGATTCTAAAAGAAAAAACTTCAATTGAAACTTTAATTAAAAGATTCTAAAAGAAAAAACTTCAATTGAAACTTTAATTAAAAGATTCTAAAAGAAAAAACTTCAATTGAAACTTTAATTAAAAGATTCTAAAAGAAAAAACTTCAATTGAAACTTCAATTAAGAGATTCTAAAAGAAAAAACTTAAATTGAAACTTTAATTAAAAGATTCTAAAAGAAAAAACTTCAATTGAAACTTTAATTAAAAGATTCTAAAAGAAAAAACTTCAATTGAAACTTTAATTAAAAGATTCTAAAAGAAAAAACTTCAATTGAAACTTTAATTAAAAGATTCTAAAAGAAAAAACTTCAATTGAAACTTCAATTAAGAGATTCTAAAAGAAAAAACTTCAATTGAAACTTTAATTAAAAGATTCTAAAAGAAAAAACTTCAATTGAAACTTTAATTAAAAGATTCTAAAAGAAAAAACTTCAATTGAAACTTTAATTAAAAGATTCTAAAAGAAAAAACTTCAATTGAAACTTTAATTAAAAGTTTCTAAAAGAAAAAACTTCAACTGAAACTTTAATTAAAAGATTCTAAAAGAAAAAACTTCAATTGAAACTTTAATTAAAAGATTCTAAAAGAAAAAACTTCAATTGAAACTTCATAAAATTTCTCAAAATTTTTGGAATTGAAATAATTATATTTTGGACTATTGTGACCATATATTTGAACTTGTAGTTTGTGCTATATGGTATGCATAGTTTTGTAAAATCTACAAACAGCAAAAGAAAATGTTACTTTCAAGAAGGACTTAAATAAGTAGTTACTTATCCAACTGGCAAAATTTATAATTCATTGTTGTTACACACTACCTGTGACCATAGTAACCACACTACTCGTCTGAAACCTGAAGTTATTCCCACTTACCTAATATGCTTTACTGTATAGTTTGGAAAATTTATATATATATGATGTTTTTGTTCAATTAAGAAATATAATTGAATTATGAAGGTATAATTAAATGGGACTAAAGAAAAAGGCTATTATTTTTTTCACTTTAACATGAATGTGAGCATTGGTGCTAAAGCTCATTTACTAGAGGATGGATATTGTCGAAACACCTTTGATAAACACACAGATATACATACTTAAATATAAAAATTGCACACTCATATTTTATTTAGCATTATGTAGAGGAACTCGTCTAAAAAAAATATGACTTTAATCATAAATAATGTTTTAACCTTGTGGGCATTTTCTAAGAGATCCCCGCCTTTGATCAATATTCCATTTTGAGCTCCGATACCAGTTCCTACCATTACTGCAGTTGGAGTTGCTAGGCCTAATGCACATGGGCATGCTATGCACAAAACAGATATAGCAGTACGAAAAGCAAATTGTATTACAATTTCAGTTTGAGTGTAAAGATCTTTCTATAAATGTAAAACAAAAAAAAATTCTTAATTCTCTAAAAATACTTTATTGTGTTATGAAATATATTATGCAATACAACAAAATGACATCATCTGTAAAACAAAATTAGCAAATAAAAAAAACAAAAAACAAGTAACATATTTATAAAACAAATACATACATCATAATTGTGTTTAAGTAGACTGAAATCAACAAATCCAATAACTAACCAAACAACGAATGTTAAAATGGAAAGTGAAATTACTATGGGAATAAATACACCAGATATTTTATCTGCAAGTTGTTGAATAGGTGCCTAGAGTAAAAATTAAAAAATATAATACATAAAGTTTAATGTAAAGAAAAAAAAAGTTCTAAACTGTTGAGAGCATTTTTACTCTTCTTCCCCCAATAATATGTATTCTTTTGTTTGGTGATTTTTCTTTCCTCAAAGTTTTATTATATAAATCAAGTTCTTATTTAAGAGATAGTGACAAAGGTTTTTATTAAACATTTAAATTTTCAATTATAGACTTCTAATTACAGACTTACTATACATTTAATATCAAGCATTAATATTAATATCAAAACACAAAACAAAGAATTTAATTTAAAACATAACTAGAAGTATTATACTATTAATATTAAAACTTTACAACACAACCACTACCTAGCAACACTATCATTAGAAGCTTACAACACAATCACTACCTAGCAACACTATCATTAGAAGCTTAAAACACAACCACTACCTTGCACCACTATTGTTAGAAGTTTAAAACACAACTACAACTTTGCACCATTATCATAAGAAGTTTACAACACATCCACTACTTTGCACCACTATAATTACAAGTATAAAACACAATCACAACCTTGCACCATTATTTTTATTATAAAACACAATCACAACCTTGCACAATTATTTGCACCATTAGTAGCTTACATCACAACCACAACCTTGCACCACTATCCTGTAAAGCTTACAACACAACCACATCCTTGCACCACAATAATTAGAAGCTTACAATACAATCACTACCTTAGTCCCCTATTGAACTTTTAATAATTTTTATTACAACTGCTTTAGATAACATTGAATATGTTTTATTGTTTTACATATATTCTTATCACTACACTGACTAATATATATTTTTTTATCAGGTTTATAACAGGGATGGTATTCTTCAATGTATAATTGGGATATTGTCATACTACATCCCAATTATATATCTGAAAACACCCATTCAGCAAATGTATTCTCCACAACTTTTTACTTAAAATTCAATATTCTCTAAAGTTGCAAAAATTTTATATTTGCTGGGAAGCTGTCTATAAGCTATCTTTAAAAACTCTAATATTACCCCAGCACTCTTAACTAAAGTATTAAATCAAAATTTTATTCACCAAAGTTTTTAATAATTAATTTAAAAAGTTTAATCACCAAAAGTCTTTAATGACAAAAAAACATTAGTATTAAAACCAGTTGAAAATTAAACATCATTTAGCGTTTTAATTATAATTTAACAAATACTAAACAACCAACAAAATTATTAAGAGTAACATTATATAATAAATAATTACTTTAGATGTTTGTGCTTCTTCAACAAGCTTGATAATTTGTGCAAGAGTAGTATCTTCGCCAACATGAGAGGCTTCTATCAAAAGTGTTCCAGATTGATTTATGCTTCCACCAACAACGGGATCGCCAACCTGTGTTAATGTAAATAATTACTCAAGTAATTCAGGTCACAAACTTTTTTATTTCATTCAGGTCATGGTTATCATTATTTTATTTGTCATGGTTATTTATTTAATTCATTCTTTTATTAAATAATTTACAAAATAAAAACCAGAAATATAATATAAAATTTGCAAAAGCTGTTTGTTTTTAAAAAAAGTTTTTTGTTTTTAAGAGATTTTGGTCAGTAACTTAGTAAGTTAATTTTTCTAAAAAGCTTCAACAATAAAATAATTTTTTGACAACAAATTAGTTGTTGATTGCAAAACAATCAGAATCAATACTTTTTATTTTAGCATTATATTATACTTTTAATGTTTAGTCATAAATCCTCTATTTAGTTGTTATCAAGTACTTTTCAAAGATTTTCAATGAAAAAGAACCTCAGCTTTATAAAATTAAAAGATCAAGCTTAGTGCATTGAATAAAGAAGATTTAAAAATTTTTTTTTGTCTGCAAAATTTTTTAGGAAGAATATATAGATGTGAATGATATCATTCTCCTCATTTGTTTTTATTTCATTTTGAACATGTTTTTAGTATTAATTTGTTCTGAAAATCTGCCATTCTCAAAATTAACATAAAAACGCTGCCAATACACATAAATCTCTCATTTTTATTATTATTATTATTTAAAAAAAACTCATTCAAAATATTAAAAACTTTAGATAAAATAAATTTATTGTTTTATTAATGTTTATTTTGTTTAATATTTTAAATATTATTATGCAATATTTTAAATATTATTTTAAATATATATTTAATATTTTAAATAATAATATTTAATATTTTAAATATTAATATTTAATATTTAAAAAATTAATATTTAATATTTTAAATATTAATACTTATTATTTTAAATATTAATATTTAAAAATTAATATTTAATATTTAAAATATTATTATCTTAAATATAAATATTTAATATTTTAAATACTAATATTTAATATTTTAAATATTAATATTTAATATTTTAAATATTTAATATTTCAAATATTATTATTTTATACTTTAAATATTTTTATTTAATATTTAAAAATTAACTAAAAAAAACATAATCTTAATGCCTAATCAATATTAGTTAATTCAATAAAGCACCAGTAAAATAAACTTCTTCACAAAAACTAGTTTTACACAAGGTATTCTTAAAATATTTAGTTATTTTCTTATTATTATGTTGTATTTAAGGTAATTCTAGAAATTATAGTAATTATAACAAATTATAGAAATTATAGCTTCTACTGCAGCTATAAAAAATATTTTATTGAATAAATATAAACTCATTTAGGATGAATCCCAAGCAAAATATATTTTAAATTATTTTCAACACATTTGATTTGTGATCTTTTAACAAGATCTACAATTTACAACTTTATTGTGAAATATTAGATGGCAATTTTAAATAAATGTAATTAAAATATATATGTTAAAATAAAATAAATATATAACCTTTTTTGTAACTGGCATTGATTCTCCAGTAATTAAAGATTCATCAGCCATCGATGTTCCATCAATAATATATCCATCAACTGGTATTTTGCTTCCTGGAACAACCTAAATGATTTTAAAAAAAAAGTAACAATAAACAAATATATTATATACCTCTCTCTCTCTTTCTCTCTCTCTCTCTCTCTCTCTCTCTCTCTCTCTCTCTTTCTCTCTCTCTCTCTCTCTCTCTCTCTCTCTCTCTCTCTCTCTCTCTCTATATATATATATATATATATATATATATATATATATATATATATATATATATATATATATATATATATATACATATATATGTATATATATATATATATAAATATATATATATATATATATATATATATATATATATATATATATATATAAAATATATATATATATATATATATATATATATATATATATATATATATGTATATATATATATATATATATAAATATATATATATATATATATATATATAAATATATATATATATATATATATATATATATATATATATATATATATATATATATATATATATATATATATATATATATGTATGTAAATATATATATACTAGCTGTCATGACCCGTAAAATACGGGTCTTTAGGATATTGATGCACACTTTATCTGCGTGGTTACAGTTCATAAGAACTATTATCCGGTTTATAAAGCAAGAAAATCTCAATCAAATGAAAACATCTAAATGATAACTTTTAATGTCCTAGATACGAAGATTAAACTTATTGATTGCGTAAACACTAAATTTAACATAAATGGCATTTGCGAGACACTTCTTGCAACGAAAAAACAAAATTTTGAAATTTGTGAATGATTTTTTTTCTCTCGTTAGCGAAATTGGTTCTGTGTCAAAATGCGAGGATCAAACTTTTGATTAATATCTTTACATATGTTGTCTATATACAATATCTATAAAACTTTATAAGTATTTGAATTTGTATTTAAAAAAATCTAAAAAAAAAATTAAAACAGTAGTCGCCAACGGTAGGACTCGAACCACGGCAGCTATGTTCCGAAGCCCAGCGCGCTAACCACTCGACTACGCTGACGCATTAAGAAATAAAGATTCAAAATTATATAAAAATTGTTTTTAACGGATATAAATGCAAAAGATTAGAAATCGGTATTATGCTAATATTAAATAGTTTAACTTTTAATTATTTTTAGAAACAATAAATTTTATAAAATAATTTAGTGTACATATAAAATTAAAATCTTTAACTATGTTCTAAATAAAAATATACTTTTTAAGCCCCCTTACCATTTTTAAATAAAGTTATGGTCGCCGCGTGGCAAGTTCATCAGCTTGGCACGCGGTTATGTTGTTTAAAATGCAAGTCAAAAGTTATATAGATTTTATATTCTATATATAAACATGTTTTTTACTAATTTTACTTGCTCAATTTAGTTGTAAAGAAACTTGAAAAGTTTAACTAAAATAACATGAGTATCTCAATAATGACACATTCGCAAAAAAAATAAAAAAGAAGGTCGCCGATGGTAGGACTTGAACCACGGCTGACTTGGTCAGAAGCCCAGCGCACTAACCACTCTACTACGCTGTCACGTGGTGTCTTGAAGATTTCAAATTATATAAAAATTGTTTTTTAATGGATAAAAACACAAAAGATTAGCAATTAAGCAAAGGTTGACGAAATGCAGTTCTTAAGTGAAAATCAAACTGTTGAACTTGATATATGTTTAAGCATGTTTTAACATTACATAACATGATGTTTATGTACGTACAATATGAGTTTCACGTTTGCTCGCGTTTTCTTATAAAGCAAAGGTAAGACTCTTTCTCGTCACTACCTCGGATGCAATGGTTGCCAAGAGTATCGTGTCAAACAGGCTCGAAAGTGCACTACTACTACAACTATTAAGTCCAGTATTATTATAAAGATATATATATATATATATATATATATATGTATATATATATATATATATATATATATATATATGTATGTATATATATATATATATATATATATATATATATATATATATATATATATATATATATATATATATATATATATATATATGGTATATTTTTGGCATTACTAGTTTCCAATATAAAAAACAGATGAACTTTGGTTTGAAAATAACTGAAAAGTCATTGTTTTTATTTAATTTTTAAAAAAGGTCACCCTCCATGACCCTTAATTACACACTGGCTCCCATAAACCAGTGAATTTTTTTTTCTTCAAAGGTATAACAACATGGGTCTCAAAAGAACCAGAATTTTATAGTGATTTAAAAATTCATAATTTCTTCTACTGAAACATTTAAAAAATATTGCAAACAAAATGTCATAAAAAACAACCTTTTCAATCTTTATTAAAAAATTGTAGTTTTTTTTTATATAAAATTTAAACAACTTATTATTATTTAAAACCATTATTATTTCTGAAATCTCTATGAAATTCTGGTTCTTTTGAGACCCAGGTTGTTATAATTTTGAAGAAAAAAAATTCACTGGTATATGGGAGCCAGTGTGTAATTAAGGGTCATGGAGGGTGACCTTTTTCAAAAATTAAATAAAACCAATGACTTTTCAGTTATTTTCAAACCAAAGTTCATCGGTTTTTTATATTGGAAACTGGAGTTACGAAAAAGTCAAATCCCTAATATATATATATATATATATATATATATATATATATATATATATATATATATATATATATATATATATATATATATATATATATATATATATATACACACATATATATATACACACTTACTTAAGCATGTTTTGCTAAGCATTTGCTCACTTTTTCTGCTTACTTTAAGCTATACCGTTTTTTTCGAAAAAAAAGAAGAAAAAACGAAGAATGATGAATGAAACGATTGCTTCCCCATCCCAAACCCTCAGTCGATGCAGCAGCACTCCACTGCGAGTCAGGCTATTTGTCAGTTGATGTATGTACTGAAGCCCCCAGCAGCAGGCTATTTCAGTATGACATCAGATTGCATACCATAGTACGCAATACTATTTGTATATATATATATATATATATATATATATATATATATATATATATATATGTATATATATATATATATAAAATTATAAATAAAGAAAATACAACTTTTTATGGTACTAAGAGTTTCATGCCTAAAGACTTTTTATGGTACTAAGAGTTTCATGCCTAAAGTTAGAAGGAGTTTTTTATGTCTACATTTAGATACTAATTCATTTCTCTTATTTAATAAGTTAACATTGGTGTAAGATATTATGACATTACTTTTTAAGATAATGCACTTTTCATATAGACATAGGTTGCATCGTATTATAAATATATATATATACACACACACACAAATATATATAAATATATATATACATATATATGTGTATATATATGTATATATACATATATATGTGTATATATATGTATATATGCATATATGAATATATATATATATGTATACATATAAATGTGTGTATATATATATATATATATATATATATATATATATATATATATATATATATGTATACATCTAAATGTAT